TTTAATTAATATATATATATATCTCAACTGTATTCATCTGTGTACAAACACACACACACACACACACACACACACACGCATATATATACTTGTGTATTAGATTAACAAGTCAGTTGAATATAGATTAAATAATCATTTACATCCAAAGGATACATTTGGCTTTATGCCAAATAATTAGTGTCATTTTGAAGCAAATAAATTTTTTTTTTAATTTTTTGACAAATTTTATTGATTTATTAAAAGTTTGTTAACCTTTCTCTCTTTCTCTTCTTTTTTATTTTTAAATGAGCAATGTATTCCAGTGATTTAATGTAGTTTTAATGAGTTTACCATGACAGTTATAAATATATCTTATAGTAATTTATTCATTGAATTCATGAATTCATTGAAGATAGACTATCATAGGAAAACTTGAAAGTATTAGACAATCATTTCGTCTTAGTATGAAACTTCTGAGCAATGTTTATGCATGATTCTGGTAGTCTGGTTCGAATACAAGACTTTCGGTCTTGCACACGAATACGTATACTCTAGATCACTGATCTGGTATCCAATGATGTTAAGGTCTAACTTCAAATAATACACGAAATTATGTCACCGTTTATTATTGTCGACAGGTTCTGGGTTCGAATCCCGAAAGGCGAGATCGTGGATACACACTGCTAAGAAGTCCCATATTATTAGGACGAAACGGTCATCCTATGCTTCTAGGCTTTTTATGATGGTCTAGCCTTAATTGACCCATGAATTCATTTATTAAATTACTAAAATCTTCTCGAAATCCCCCTCCTGATGATATGATATAACTGTTGGTAATGGTGTCTCATTTCTAAATAGGTTTCTTTGAAGTTGAATACATAATTAGTGATAGAATTAGTCATTAACCCTTTATGATTTACTGTAAATTACTTAGCATAATGAGACATTTACATAATTGGAAGATACTACATTCAAAACTATAATCAATTAACCGAAATAGGTCAATAGTGAAATTTTTGACTTTAGTATTGGATGACATGGGTTCGAACATAATCTTCCTTCTTTCCTTCCTTTTTCACTGACTTACTTACTTACTTACATCTGTTACCCCTTGTCGAGAAGCATAGACTGCCCATATAATCTTACTTAGGATTACCAATATAACTTATTTACTCTGCTTTGAACTATACTACTTATATGACAAGTAGTTATCATTTTTGGTGAAGTAGAGTATAAATTTAAAACTTGAGCAGCTTAATCGTTTAATCATCATTCTACTTCAAAGTTTATCATTATCTCACAAAGTAAAGGATTGAGTAAATGAAACTTATCAGACGATTCAACTTGGAAATTCATTCTATTATATGCTTAATAGAGCTTCTAAATGTTTGTTTATTATAATCGTAACCAATGGTTCGAGATTCTGTGTGACATGGCTCAGAATCAATCACAATAGTGTAGGTGTATACACTCTCTGTCTTCCCTTAAACTACGAGATTGAAATCGCTTCATATCTTTCTTTCTACGAACTAATTCTTTCTTCCTTTACTATGTCGTTATATGCAATCTTTCTTTTATGTATTACCACCACTGAATTAACCACTTCTATGAATCCAGTATTCATTTTGTTGTGCTTATGAGTGAGGAATGGCAACTTGAACTGATGCATATGCGTGCCTGGTCCTACGTTATAGCTGACTGACTGAGAAGTTTTACAACATTTTGACCTAAAATTCACCAATCAAACTTTAAACAACTTATGTTAAACTGATGTCAGATTGTAGTGCCGTTTGTAAGGTCAGTTTTCTTCGGATTAAAGAATTTCAGTCAATTACCTAGTGTGATAATAATTATCTACTTATTGGTGACTAGGTATAAGAAGAACTGATGGTATTGAAATATATCATGGGTGAAATGGTTATCACATAGCGGGGCATCATTGAGATGACCATGATTTATATAGCTGATTGATTTGATCCTTGTATATACAATGTGAGAATTGAAATGAATTCGATCTTGCATGTGTTCATAAATGTGTATTGCTGAATGGTTTAGAACTATGATGAAACAGCTTTCTAGTGAATCTTGATTTTCATTATACAGTAATTTCAATGAAGTAAATAGATTTTCAACAACAAAACGAAACTGAACATGAATACTTCTCTATAAGCAAAGATGGATACTGGTTAGCGGTGGAATTCAAGATGGGTGTTTCGCCCTATTTATGCTTCGTCAACCGGATGTACTTGTATACAATCAAACAACACTTAGTGAATGAATACATCTTATCTAAATGTGATCAACATATGATAAATGAATAATTAATACTGATTGATTTAGAATTTGTTTTAATAAACAGATGTAAAATCTGGATCAGAAAAAACCCTGAAATATGATCTATCATATGATTGATGAGAACAGGATTAATGAAAGCAAAACGATCAGTATCCTATTGAAGAATGAAGTAAGATTAAACAGGTAATATGGTTGGTGTGATTGGTTTTTGTTGACGAGACAATTAAAATATGACAATAGTAATTAGGTGCTTAGACGTCATCGAAAGAAAACTCTAGATCTCAGTTTTGTAGTGTCTAGCACTCGTCAACAATGTGTACTTGTAATCCGAAGGGAGCTGATGATCTCTGAAGGATTCACTCCTATATCATCAAGCTTCACATTCTAGGACGTTATCACTGAACTAGTTGCACCTTGATTGATCCTCTGTAACACTAGATATTTAGAACTGATTTTTCGATGAGTAGTGACCGAAGTCGTGTATGTCAAGGCTTTGGTACTGACTGAATTCTGTCAGACAAGTTGCAATATGGCTATTAGTCTAAATGACCCGATATTCCATGCACTATGTTGTGATGGTTTGGTTATTAGATAAAGTCAACAGAAGACAGTGGACCTAGGTTACGTGTTGAGGACGATAAGTGGTCGCTTGTACAGCTCAGTGGTAACGTTAAAGACTGTGATATGGGTTCAAACCTTCCGAGTAACATAATTTCCCTGATCAATATAGGTACACATTGTTGACAACTGCCAAACTGCAACATTTGGGTCTAGAGTTTCCTGTCGACTACCTCCAATCGCCTACTATTTCATCAATATGCATGCGTTGTCTAATCACTTAGACTAGTGGCTACATTGCAACTTGACTGATTTGATTCGATCAGCATTACTAAAGGATTTGACAAATGTCACATTGACCATCACTCAGTGATCAATCAACTGAAATTAATTCGCAAATTAGATCTGATCAAATATTTGTTTTAAGCATCAATTGTATTATGATATATAATTGTGACTTGGATTCCTCAAGGCCAAAGAAAGAGAGGAAGACCAAAGAACACATTACGCCGAGAAATGGAGACGGACGTGAGAAGAACGAACAACAATTGGATAGAACTAGAAAGGAAGGCTCAGGATAGAGTGGGTTGAAGAATGCTGGTCGACCGTCTATCTGCCATTAAGAGTAACAGGCGTAAATCCCAAATCCATATTAATCGTTATAATTCGATATGGGGGGGGTAATTTATATTGTCATTAAATGTTTGAATTGAATGGATCGTTAAACTATACAGAACCTGTCTGGAAAATCACTCAGCTAAATGGTATTCTTGTGTTCATCAGTGATTAACCATTTAAGATGGATTTCATGAAGTTTACTTATGAAGTCTACCACATTGTAATTGAAAGAGTTACTCATCTCTGGCACAGGATGATGGCCACATATTGCTGTATATCTATACTGATGTGGCATAATATAAGTCATGAAATTCTGACACAAATCTTAATAGCTATAAGACCGAAAGGTTTTGCTTGTTCATTCGTTAGCACTTCTATAAAGTTTTAAACTGGTTGTACACTCGTTCATAGTCAATAATCAAAGTTCTTTTCAAAGGTTTAAAGTTCAATAACTCTCAATAATCTGTTTGTTATAACTTATGCCCTGTGTTCTATCAATATTATAACGTAATGATACCGCCAATTAGAGAACAGTGATTTATCGACCGGACGAATGACGCATAAAACAAGTACGAGCAGTCTACAGTACTTATCGGTCCTTCTCCCTGCCTAACATTGCCTGTTAAGTCCAGAACACCACTATCAGCCTCCACGATACGAATCATTATATTTCAAACATACTGGGTTTATCTACGAAACAAACAGACCACATCGTACGATAAAACAGGAAACAACATTCGTAAAAGAATTAGCCAAATGTGACTGTTAATGTGGGGGACTGTAATTAATTGACTGGGCATAAATCAAGAATGGTATATCGTATAATAATCATCTATGGATCAAAATGAAGCATACAATAAGAGGAATATGAATATGCATAGTTTAGTTACTTAACCAAACATACCTAAATATTAGTCTACAAATGAATCTTAAAAGTTACCATTTATTATTCTCATTAGGATACAATACTGTTACTTATATCTATCAATATCTTTGGTATCCTAGAAATTCATTCATTAAACTCAACCTAACTACTGATCTTATATACTACTTATAAGTTCAATAATATCAATCAACAAAAAGAAAAAAATAATCAATATTGATTACGTGGTGTTGTGTAATAAAACAGGTCGCATTATAAATGATAAAAATAGTTGAGTATACTAATCAATAATTTAATGACAAACCACACAATAATCAATAATTTTTTTGTAGAAAAAATATCAGTAAAACTGTAATGGTTATTATTGGATTTGTTATGGCTGATGATCTGACTCCAATTGGATCGTACGATGATTATGATGGGACTGTACATCCTGACTATAATTATCGACTTAAATTGCGTTAGTGAATAACAGAATTAAAATAAGCGAAATACCTGAAAGGATAAGATGGTGGTTGGAGGTAGTCAATACGTAACCCTGTACCCAGGTTTCGTGCTACTTGGCACTCGTCAGTAAGATGTACCTGTAATCTTGACGGGAATGATGCTCCCTGACAGATTTAATCCCGTGTCATTCAGCTTCACAGTCACAGAATTTACCATTGAGTTATCCGGACCATGAATGACCTCCTATAAGAATGAAATGTATTTACAATTAGTTGATCACCACCCAGTGATCGTTCAGCAAGAAAGGATTTTTGAATACGTATATTTTGTACAGTCGTTGGTTCAAACGAAAGAGCAAAGAAACGAAACGAAGAGAAGAGAAGAAAGCGAAACGAAATAACGTACAATGGAGAGGACGAGTAAACCAACTCGATTTAGTCTAGCGTGAATCGATCTTGATAATGACACGAAAATAAACTACAGACATCTGATGAATGAGATAAGAAGGGCACATACATACACTTACATAGAAACAGTCAAGACTGATAAGCAAATAACTGACAAGGTCAAAATGTGACTACTTCAGAAGAATGAATAAATTGTCCTGTCCAAAAGCTCGAATAAGTTATATGAACTTAACATAGCAACTGACACTACGTCTGAGATACATGAAACTGAAGTAGTGTTTCCATTGAATGAATGACATAATTTTGTAGTTTTGTAGATGATAACTAAGATTCATCAAATTTAGGTAAATGGTAGAGCTTTTAGATTATTTTGACAGGTAGTTAGTTATAAACTGTATTCTGTTTGATACAGTAGTTCATCGGTATAAGTCACCACCCATTATATAAGTACAGTGAGAAAGAGAAGATCTATCAAAATGACAGTAATAGTATAGGGGTTGTGGAGATTAGTAAGTTTTTTGATTGAGATCATGAACCGATTGATGTTAGACCACCTTTTGAAACCTGGAAGCACTGGACGGCCGTTTCGTCCTATTGTGGGACTCATCAGCAGTGCGCATCCACGATCCCACTAGCGGGATTCGAAGCCAGGGCCTTCGGTCTCGCGCGCAAACGCTTAACCTACTGGACCACTGAGCCGGCATCTAAAGGTGATGTTAGACACTATCCAAATCAGAATTTCACATTTAATAACATGACTTAATCTATCAGTTAATAATTCCGATGATTGATGTCAGGGTTTGATTTGGTTACTCCTCAACTTCTACCATTCTAACTACTGTCGAGTTAAACGTAGCCTGAGGGGAGGGAGTGTTTAACATATATGATGATTCATTGAAACAATACAAGTGTATGAACCCTATCAACTGATTTCTCAGTTTCATATATAACAAATCTCAAAATTACTGTAGCAAAACTTTAAAGAAATCTGTTATTGGAATGATAGTAACCTACATGAAGGAATAAAACATTAATACACCAATCTCATAATCATCTATCTATTCCATGTGTTACAACTTCCAATAGTTCAGAATGTAAACAACGGTGAATGTAAATCAAATATGTGTGATATGTGTGAATGAAAAATGAATACTGGAATAAAAATTGATTTTGTGTCATAAGATTCAAATTCCCACTCACTAATAAAGAGTAATCGGTTTATTTAATTGATATCATAAACCGATCGATTTTAGGCAACTGTTGAAAACCTAGAAGCACTGGATGACCATTTCATCATAGTATGGGACTCCTAAACAGTTAGCATCCATGATCCTGGACGCGGGATTCGAACCTTGGATCTTCGGTTTCCTGTACGAATACTCAAGATCTCTATTAAAACATAACAATCTCTATAAACATATAATGATATTTTAGAATTATCAGTTTTGGAGATTTGTGGAGATTATAGTATTTTCAAATATGAATTCACGAGTCAATTCAAACTAGAATATGATTAAAAACCTGGAAGCACTAAATCACCGTTTCGTCTTAATATGGGAACCTTCATCAGTGAGCATCCATGATCCCGTAAATGGGACAATTTGCAATTGATAACTGGATAATATGAATACAAATGTTCTTAGAAAAGATTAAGATTCAAAAATTAATGTCACTTTATAAAATGAATATAGTTTACTAAAGTTGATAATAGTAAAATAAAACAACTTTATATAAACAGTGAGAAATCAACTCACTGATGACAATGGTTGGATTTAGACATAAACACCAATGGATGCCGGCTGAGTGGTTTAGTTGGTGAAGCGCCTGGCGCGAGACTAGTATGTCCTGGGTTCGAATATCGCGGGGTGCGGGATCGTAGGTGCGCACTGCTGAAGAGTCCCATACTAGGACGAAACGGTCGTCCAGGGCTTCCAGTTTTTCCATGGTGGTCTAATTAAAATCAGTGAAATTTCTAAAATCTCCACAAAACCCCTTCTGATAAACAGTATTTACCTAATATCTATGTGATACTGATTGTGTAACTAAGCATGAACAAATTGTATATTGATAGTATATCAGATCAAATACAATGTATAACCTGGTACATGTATACATTGTAATCTGTTAGCATAGAAATGACATTGTTGGAGTGAATTCTACAGAAGTAGAGAGAGGTCATAGAATAGATAATAGATGAAGAAGGCAAAAAGTCAATGTACATAAGCTATTGCAAACAATTTCAAGTGGTATCAGTCAAAAGCTTCAACTATTGATTAGGATAATCAAATGAACCCTAACCAGATAATATAGATCTGTTAAAATGATTTAGTTCAATTATTAAAGTTTTCATAGTCTTATATCACATCTTGATACCATGGAACTCTTGATATTGATCGAAAATCGATTAATTTTGCTAATCAGTCAGTGGTTGCATCTTTAATTTATCATCAAATCAAACGAAGATATACATGCAATATGCTTATGGTTCGAATCCACATGTTATTTATATTACATATTGTTAACGACTATCCTGGTTCATGACAATGCTTAGAGGAGAAGACTATCTTTGTATATTGCATTCATTATTTGTGATAGGTATATGTCATGGTCACTATACATCAACTTGATTGCTTATGAAAAGGCATTTGACAGTGTAGATAGGAGAACATTATGGAAACTTCTTCGACACTATGAAGTTCCTGATAAGATTGTCAACATAGACCAGAACTCATACGATGGACTACAGTGCAAAGTCGTGCATGGAGGACAGCTGACAGATGTATACCAAGTAAGGACAGGAGTCAGACAAGGCTGTCCCTTCTTTTTACTTCTGGTGGTCGACTAGATTATGAAGACCTCAACATCTAAGGGGAAACATGGAATACAATGAGGAACTCGGAAGCAATTAAACGATCTGCACCTCACAGGTGATCTAGCCCTCCTATCCCATACAGACGTAAAGGTGAGGATTGGCAAAGCAAGGGCCGCATTCCTACAATTGAAGAACATATGGAACTTAAGACAACTTTCAACCAATATCAAAGTCATGATCTTCAATACGAACGTCAAGGCAGTTCTACTGTTCGAGTCTAAAACTTGGAGAACTACAACAACCACCGTCAAGAAGGTACAAGTATTTATGAATTGTTGTCTTCGCAAGATACTCAACATCCATTGGCCGGATACCATCAGTAACAGCCTACTGTGGGAGCGAACAAACCGGCTTTCAGCTGAAGAGAAAATCTGGAAATGTTGCAAGTGGATAAGATACACATTACACAAATCATCAAACGGCACCACGAGACATGCACTGACTTGGAATCGTGAAGGCAAGCGGAAAAGTGGAAGGCCAAAGAACACATTACGTTGGGAAATATAATCAAATATGAAAAGGATGAATAACAATTGGAAAGAGCTGGAAAGGATTGTCAAAGACAGGGTTTGATGGAGATTATTGGTGGGCGGCCTACGCTCGTTCACGAGGAGTAACAAGCGTAATTAAGTAATTTGTCATCGTTCTACCATAATTCTCTCTAAGAAGGATGTGAGGACGGTTTACGGGTGAACTCATTGAAGCTTTAAGAAGTTCAGAAAGAACCAAACACATTCCATCTAATCATCTTTTAGAAGAATATTCCAGAATCTCTAAGTATAGTTTCTCTATAGAAAAAATGTGATAAACTCCTATAATGGTGATTTCACTTTTACTAAAACTTATAAATACCTGAGAGTTTTGTATCATATTTGACACAGTTTAGAATAACATTCCTTCTCAATCATTTTCTATTTTCTCATTTGAGACTTAGAGGGTTCTAGCATTCAACTACTCAAATTGTATACGGTATATCAAGGCTCTCAGCTCTAAATATAACAATGTGCTTGTTAATCAGTCAGTCAGTAACAACGTAGAACTTCGTACGTACGTACATCAGTTCAAGTTGCCACATCACATTAGCACAGAGGTGCATTTGTCGATTCAAATCCTGTAGTGACAGAGGCGATAAGAGTATAAGCAGTAATCGGATAGATTAAGGTTTGAAGATGTTGTTCAAAGAGCATAATCCAGTGAAATAAATTGGGAAAGAGAAAAAAGAAAGGGACATGAAGAATTCAGAAGATTAGAATTTGGTAGAGCATAAAGAATGGATGCACCTGCGCCATTGCAAACGATTTTGAGCCATGTCATTCAGGGTCTCTAACCATCGGTTGCTATCATCTCGTGGTCCCCAACCAGGTAGTCTACACCTAGTAACATGGCCCTGTCCACTTGTCAGTATGGGCTTTTTTATAAAAAAGATGACAGCACATTCTATTCTATTGCATAACTTACATCATCCATAACATGAATGACACGTCATGTCATATATCATGTAACAGTCAAGTTATTACTAACAAATTATTCAGTCATTAGTAAGTCTTGTAAAACTATGATCTCAGACATCCCTGGTATGGTATTCCAGTCGTCAGGGCTCTGCACTCATAAAATCAATTATACAGTTCTAAATGAATTCTTAGTATAAATTTGAATTTTATGTTATTTGAAAACTGAATAATCAGTTATGAAATAATGGAGAAGATTTATAGCCTAGGTGAATGATTTTGATAGAGTTTTATTCTCTGAACTGGATAGTTTGGTCATGAAGCTTTCATCGGTCATCTGAACGACATCATCAGCACAAAGTTCAGGTAGTAGTCATTTATGAAGATGTAAAGTATGTGAAGATTGTTTCTTTATTCATATCTGTGATAGATGGAGTTCAAGAATATCAGTAATCAGATGTGTATCACTGATAGCTGAATGTCTATCAAAATGAAAATCAATGGATTCGAACTTTGGTGATCTAAAGGGAATGAACTCATCAATGTGACTTAAACATACTTGATATTATCTCTAGTCAGTCCACAAGTACTCACCTTTATGTAATCATGTATTAAGATGCCATATAGGTCGATTGGTTTGTTGTTCTCAATTGTTTTACATTTGATTCTTGTCCGTAATGAGTAGTATCCATTTAAGATAATGATTATGATTATGTTTTAAATCTTATGAATGATTTTGTACAGAGTGAGCCATTCAGACGGTAAAATACATTCTTATGAATGGTTTATCAGTATCAGTGATCAAGATTAACCCACTGAACTGTTTGAATATTCAATGAAGAAAGTTGAAAGATGATTAGGTAAACATGGATTGAAACTAGAAAATATTATTGATCTGTTCTATAATGAGAATTATGTTGACTATGATCATTAAACATGATCAGTTCATGTTAGGGGTAACTTTTAAATGATCAAGAAATGAAGTGTAAATAGAAACAAGAAAACTATCTAGAGGTCCATGTTTACCAACTATATACTTGTGTACACTTATATTTATTTGATACATTTCAGTCAATTAAACAGTCAACTAAAATGTAGGACCAGGCATATATATGCATCGATCCAAGTTGCCATACCGCATTAGCACAATAACATGAACACCAAATTCATAAAAGTAGTTAATTCAATGGTGGAAATATATAAAACAATGATTGCACATAAGGATATAGTACAGGAAGAAAGAATTAGTTGGTGGAAAGAAGGATATAAAGCAATTTTAATCTCATAGTATAAGGGATGACAGAGAGTGTATACACTGACGCCATTGTGATAGATTCTGAGCAATGTCACCAAGAGTCTCCAATCATTGGTCAGGATAGTCACGCGAACACCAACCAAGTAGTCTGCATCTACCAACATGGCTGAGGCCAGAGGTTAGTGACTTCAAGCACTGATGCCACGTTTTAGTTCGGCCACCCCTAACTGCTTTCCAATTATCCATTAAACTAGACACCGTCGGGCGTCGTGGTAATCGGTGCTCAGGCACACGCAACAGGTGGCCCAACTATCTCAGTCGATGAAGACTTACAACCTTATCAATTGATTTATCATTATTCTCTAATACTCTGTGTCTAACCTCCCAGTTACTTATCCGATGATTCCAGCAGATGTGAGCAACATTTTTAAGATATCTGTGGTCAAACACTAGTAGCTTACGAATATCTTCTACTCTTAATGGCCACGTTTCGTAGCCGTTAATTAGAATATTTCATCAGGTGTATACAACCACGCGGTCTAGCCATCTCACTCGATAAACATTTACAACTGAAGATACATTTCAGTAGTAAATATAATTCTGTATCAAAATTTACTCTAATCATAAGAAAATTTGAGAAATTCTTTAAGAAATTTTCTAGTAAAATAATTGATCTTCAGCAAAACATAAACATGAAACCACATGGATACAACTGAATTATGTATATTTTCAAGGATAATAATAATAATAAGAGGATAATCACTGATCATTCATTAAGATTATTTCTATAGTCTCAATATAATTAAAGTATACTACTCATTACTTTATCATAAAACTTTAAGAATTCCATCTAGAAATGTATAATAATCATGATAGGATCTTTAATGTAATTCATATTTTACAAGGTGTATGCTTGTTAATAAACAAGTATAAATAGAGACAGACATTAGAGGAATGAACAACGATTGGATGGAACTAGAAAGGAAGGTTCAGGAAAGAGTGGGTTGAAGAATGCTGGTCGGCGGTCTGTACTCCATTGGGAGTAACAGGCTTAAGTAAGTAAGTAAGCGAGCGAGTGAGTGAGTGAGTGATTGAGTAAGTAAGTAAGTGATATGATGGGAAGAAAAGTTAGAATTCGATTGGTTTGATCATTAATATGTGCATAATAATGTTAACAATAATGATAAGAAACTCCGCCTGGAGTCCCTCCGGGGGCTACTGCCGGTCCCAAGCACGGATCAAGGAGGAATGTTTGACATGGGGTTCGCGATCCCATTCCGTAGAAAACTAACTCGCTAAAAAAACACTAACCAGAAAAAAATTATTCAAACCACTTAAACTATGCCCTGGGAGTTAAAAGGTCTTCATTTAGAAGAGACCACATGATAAAAGCCGAATTCCTTCGGAATTCGGCTTGCCGATGCCGATGCCCCTTCTGACAACCAGAGTAACCATTTATTTAGGTACATGGATGTAACAATGATAAGAAAAAGGAAAGAATGATTATAGACTTACCTTTAAGTTCAGAATTGATTCGTTTTATCGATTGATTCATTCCATTATTCAATGGATTAGATTCATCTTTCTGTGTATTATATTCATTAGATATAGTTTTATTCAAATGAGATATCATTGAATGAGAATTAGATGATGATGATGATGATGTTTTAGTCTTTGATAGATCCATTGTATTCAATTGAATATCATTGGGTTTAACTAAAGTTAAAGGAATTTTTGGTGTTTCTAATCCAGCTGTTTTACATGAGAAACCTTCTATTTTATTATGATGATGATTATCCTTATCCATTGAAGTATTATTATTATTATTATGGTTTAATCCTAACCATGTTTCAGTTAGATTTGGTATTGTATATTCATAAAAGAAATAACCTTGTTCAGTCATAGCAGTACGACATTTAATAAGACTTAATTCATTATCATATGGACATTGATTAGGTATTTCACCAACACATGCAGATTGACAATTATGAAAACAAAATTTACCCCATGGGGCTATAGGACATTGAAAGAACATACTATAACCATTAAGTATATTATTATTATTGACTTGTAATTGTTTATTATTGAATGAATGAACTTCACAACGTATTATTAATGGTTGATTTAATTGTACTTGATTAGACGATGGATTAAAACTTATCGTTAATGGTGTATCTGATTCAATATCTAATGGTTTACTATAAATGATAATAATTCCATAGATCATTAGTGATAATAATGAAAGAATCATTTCTACAATTGAATGTAATGAATTTGATCTTGAATGATACATCATGGTCTTCTTCTTCTTCTGCTTCTTCTTCGTAGAAACTGGGATACTTCAATTAGTTGTTCTTTGTTCTCTTATCATGTAAAGTATATGATGGATAAAATAAGGTGTTTCATTGAATTAAATAAAGGACATAGTAACAAATTTGTAATTTAGTTATTTCATTAGTAATTTGTTTCTATGCAAAACAAAAAAAATTTTTTTCTGTCATAAACTAAGAGAACAGACGACAATTTTGTATTTTAGATCCAGGACGTACGATTTTTAAAAAAAATCATCTCTTTCTCCAGAAAAGTTATTCACATGTTGTTCACGCTACAATAAATGATCATCATAGTAGCACCATGTGGATCGATTGTTCCAGCCAGTACAGCACGATTGATTCATTACAGTAGGTGAGATAGGCCACCACGTCAAAGTAGCAGTAACGGTCGGTGATAAAATTTGAGAACCCTACATTGAATACTTTCGGTGAGAAATTCCATTATTTGTCCTTCACATTCTATATGATTCTTCAAAATCATAATTCTTATCTATTTTCATTTCTGTTTACTTCAAGTCGATCTTCAAAGCCTACTGTTGCCATGCATTTCTCTATTGATTGGCGTCACATTCTACTTATGTCGACAGGTATAAGTAGCATACATCACATTTTTATCACTGAACTGACAAACAAGTTTTACCTATATTACTTTGATGTTGATGTTTTCAGTGCGATCCGAATTTCATTATTTCTTAATTTATAAGGTAGATTGATATCCATTAGATAATTGAGTTAATGTTGAATAGCTCTTATTCAAGTATTTTCAATCTAATGGATCTTTGATTCACAACTGATCTCAATATGAACTTGAAGGTAAGCAAATATACTTCAGGATTGATACGTTGATTCTAAACTACAAGTAACCAATTGCCATCACAATATAATTTAATGAAATTGAATTCACATCCACTTGATATTGTATACTTGAATCTTCCCATTCAATTTTAAGACTGCAGATTGATCAGTCTCTTATTGGCATATGTGTAGCTTGTGCAGATTGCCTAGATATTACTTTCATTTACAAGCATTCACTCTGGGATGCAGGTACACCAAGCTGACGAATCCCAAATAGGAAGAAACACGTAGCCTGGAGTTCACTGCCAGCCACTATTCATTTTAGCTTAAAATGCTTATTGGAATATGTGTATCTTGTGTAGATTGCCTAGATAATACTTTCATTTACAAGCATTCACTCTGGGATGCAGGTAGAGTGAAAACAAATGACATAGATGAGTGTAAATAACTGGGTTACAATAATAACTATATATATATATATTAAAATTAAAACACGAATTTCAGCGAACGGATCTCTTTTCAACGAATTTATTATCAAGGTGTACAATCGTTTATATATGAAAATTTTGTTTTTGTAAAAGTACTGATTCCGTGTAGAAATGTAAACACAGTTAATAAAAAAAGGGTTATAATACTAGATTACGTAATATGAATAATAACAATAACAATGGATTTGGTGAATATAATAAGATGATGAGAACGAGTAATGGTTCTTTAACAAGATCCATCTTTAGAAAACAAACATGGAATGGCCAGCTAACCAACTTCTATAGCTGGGTTCCGTTAAGTAGGAAGAGCAAACTTATCCATTCTTTATGCCATCGCATACATCACATATGCAGTACGGAATGCATTAACGAAGAACTCGCATTCCTGAAGAAGACTTTGACGGAAAATGGTTACCCAGAACGGTTCATAGAAAAGAATATGAATAAAAGTAGTCGCGAGAAGAATTCTAGTTGTTCCGTTCCAAAGAAAAACCTTTATATAAGTCTGGAATTTAAAGGTGACCGAACATCGGACGTAATCAAAAACCGTCTAATAACAACTATTAGGAGAACATTGAACGCGGCAAAACTGCGAATATCCTTCACTAGTAGAAACTTATTTTCTGTATGCATAAAAGATAAGCTTCCGCGTCTGGTCGCCTCCATGTGCATCTACCAGTTCACCTGCTCTTGTGGAGCAAGGTACATTGGCCGTAGCCAGCGCGGATACGAGAACATATCCCAGCCTGGTTCTATAAGGGTGAAAGGAAAGCAGTTAGGAGTTCTATTTTTGAACACCTAATTGACTATAACCATTCAACAGATGCACAAATTGATTTTAGGGTTGTTTATATGATTCGTTCAAATCTACCCAGATTTCTTCGTATACAACTTTTAAAAATAGCCGAAGCTCTTGCCATCCAGGAGCTTAAACCAGAACTATGCGTACAAAAGAAGTACGTCTTATCATTATCGTTACCTTGGCCTTAATTAGTTTGATTATCCTACCATTAATGTTACTATTATTATTATTATTATTATTATTATTATTATTATTATTATTATTACTGTATTCCCCCTTTACTTATGTCTTATATTCTCATTGTTTTGTTCATGAACGCTCATCATATCAGTTTATTTTTGTACACCTCTATGACCTTTAATTATTATGACAAAAACATTTTAATCATCTTATTGCAATCACTAAATCTATTGTTATTGTTATTATTCATATTACGTAATCTTGTATTATAACCCTTTTTTTATTAACTGTGTTCACATTTCCTCATGGAATTAGTACTTTTACAAAAACAAAAAAATTTTCATATATAAACGATTGTACACCTTGATAATAAATTCGTTGAAAAGAGATCCGTTCGCTGAAATTCGTGTTTTAATTTTAATGTTTAAATGGGAATTATCTGTCAATATATATATATATATATATATATATATATATATATGCTATAAACAGGTCAGAGGTCAAAAGTGTAGTGGCATTGGACAATAGCCACACAATCCACAAAGCTGTGAACACGAGACTACTCAGAAAATAGATATTCAATATTCAACGCGGAGAAATACCTAACAATGGAGAAGGCGCGAAGAATGAATTGAATGGACTGGAGTTGATCGAGTGGCATGGCTCGGCCATGCAGGCGTGGTCTCTGCGGAATGTTACCTTATATCTTTTATTCATAATAAATATATTGTTCTTTCTCTAGCCTAACCTTGTTCTACATCATGTATTGGTAATTGATACGATACAGTGAGTTGGTGTAGTCGATGGTGTGACTTCCACGTAAGATCTTATAGATTCGGCAGTTATATCATGACAAATCTACAAATTTAGGATTAGGTCTATTATTAGAGCAATATTAATATCATAGTAGACCATAATTCTACAAAAGTGGGGGGGGTTAATCCAGGGTGGATGGTGTAATAATTCAGTGAAGTTCATAAATTGTGTGATGATTGTAGAGATTAATGGAATTAATTAATGATAAGGTAGATTACGTAATATTAATTAAATAAGGTTTGGAAAGTTAAGATGATTTAAGAGGATCAAGTGGTGGAAATGTGTGAATAAATTTTTTTAGTTTAAGAATTAGGTAATACGGGGGGGGAATATAAATTATCTTAGAATAAGTAAATGAATAAAATAACCAAAACACAAAACAAACAAACAGAAACAAAAGTGATTACCAGGGTAGTGATAAGTCTCTTTTTGGATGCATAAATCCGGTTTCAGTTTCTTAATTGCAATGGCTTTAATAAACTTATCACTAACCTGGTAATCTTTTTATTTCTGTTTGTTTGTTTTGTGTTTTGATTATTTTATTCATTTACTTATTGTAAGATTTAAAACAATTAGTCCCTTTCACAGATTGAACTCATGAGTCAGTTGAAGCTAGACCACCATTGAAAACCTGGAAGCACTGGACGGCCGTTTCGTCCTAGTATGAGACTCCTCAGCAGTGCGCATCCACGACCCCGCACCACCCGTGGCTCGAACCTAGGACCTACTGGCTTCGCGCGCGAGCACTTAACCATTAGATCACTGAGCCGGCATCCAACGGTGTTAATGTCTAACTTCAACCAATCCACGAAGTTGCGCTACCGTACACCATTGTCTTCAGTGAGTTCCTATCTCACAACAGACCTGGTTGAACTCCACTGGCAACGACTTCTCACTAGAACTCCAGAAGTGTCTCCTGAAGTCCCTTTGATAAATTTCGATAATGCAATGAGAAGACGTAGTTTATCAGAATTATGTGATGATAGATTTGAGCAATACATTTCGAACAATCTGATCACACATCATCTACTTGTTAAGAACATTTTTATATGAAAACTTAAAAGGTCAACTAGACAGGTTAAGGGTAAGTCATAACAAAGGAAAACATATTAAAGTACACAAAAACAAATTTGATTACCACTCTGCATAGTAAATCAGTACTACCAGGGTAGGTTAAGTGTAAGCGCTAATTGTTTTTGAACACATAAAGGGGGTTTCAATTTTCGTATAGCCAAGGCTTCAATTAACCTTAGTATACGTCCTTGAAGGCTTTTGTACAACACAACAAATGCTGATTTGATATCAACCTTATGACCCGTCTCAATCAAATGTTTCGCAATGGATGATGATGTCTGTCTATCCTGTGATCTTATTTCACCATTGGAATTCATCTGATTCTGCAACCATTTTGGTATATGTTCACCCACCCTTTAAATGCAAATCACGATTGCTCTTCCCTACGTACGTGTTTCCACAAATACATGTAAATTTATAGACACAATGGGATGTGACACAATCGTTTTCATGCTGTTTGGGCTTTTGGTGAAACATAGACATTGTCTTTTCGATAATGACAAGTTGGGCTGCATAAAGTGTCCGGCTGATAGCTAATTTAAGTCTCTGTTTCAATATGAAACTATTTGTGTCACCTCTGAATGTTAGAGCAATATAAACTTGCTTTTTGGGTGCCAGAAGCGTCATAGGTCTAGTCATATTGCAACCCTCCCAGCGGTTTATGAACTTCAAAGGGCAACCATTATTGATTAACGCATCAGTCAAGAGCTTCAACAGCTCTTTATTAAACCGCGTTTATAATGAATAGGGCAGTAACTATGAAAATTAAGATATTGTCCTGTCCATGTTGGTTTTCTATATGTAGCAC